ACTGTTGGGGTTAAAGCTCTGTGGCTTAAAGCCTAATCACATTTGGCAAATGAATGTCACTCATGTCTCCTCTTTTGAAAGGTTCAAGTGGGTCCATGTTACTGTAGACACTTTCTCAGACGTGTTGTTTGCCTCTGCACAAACAGGTGAAAGTTTAAAACATGTTATTTCTCACTGTCTAGCTAGTTTTGCCTTTGTAGGCAAACCAAAAGAATTAAAAACATACAATGGACTTGCTTATACCAGCACATGGTTTCAAACCTTTTGCCAACAAAATAACATATTACATAAAACCGGAATTCCGTACAACCCTCAAGGGCAAGGTATTATAGAAAGAGCTAACAAAACGCTCAAAATTCAGTTGCAAAAACAAGAAGGGGGAGACGGGTATAACCGTTCTCCTCATAACATGCTTAACCATGCTCTTTTTACTTTAAACTTTTTGAACTGTGATGAGAGAGGTTATTCAGTGGCCGAAAGACATCAAGCAAATGGTCCTGAGCGTCCTAAAGGTTTAGTATATTGGAGGGATTTACAGACAGGATCATGGCATGGTCCAGATCCCACATTAATATGAGAAAGAGGTCACGTTTGTATCTTTCCAGAAGGAGCTGACTGACCCATTTGGGTGCTGGAGCATGCGATGAGACACCATCATGGAACCTGTGAATCAGGTTACTCCGGCCTTCAAGAGGATGAGGATCACCCCTCCAGTGTCAGTGCCTGCACTTTATCCTCCAAGGATGGCACCTCCACTTTACCCGAATCCACTTTTGGCACCTTCACTCCACCAGAATTGCCCACCTGAGCTACCAATTTGGGGTCAAATAAAAGAGTTAACGGCTGAAGCTCAACAGGAAGTTGAAAACCAAGGGGGAAGGAAGTCCCCTAACACCCTGTTTGTGGCCATGATGGCGGTCCTGGCCTGTCAAGTAGGTATGGGATGAGGGAAACATATTGGACCTATTTTCCTGATCCTTCAATAGTTCAACCAGCTACTTGGAATGGAGGATCAATACCCATATTTACTAACCACTCTGCTATGATTGGGGGCCGTAACGACGGCCACATTCAGCCTGTGTCCTATGGCAATAATACTTATGAAAAATTTAGCAAAGATGTGCCCATTTGTCTGTCTGCTAAGGACAAAACCTTAAGATGTCCCAGGAAAATAAGACCACCTATGGTGGCTCTAAGATAGTAGTGCTGTCTAGCCCATGGGACATGCACAAATTTGTGCAAAGTATCTCTAAATGGGGATATGGTAATGACTTGAGGGTATTGGGTACAGTCCATCCCCCCTTCCATATTGCCCCAATTCTTCAACTATAGAATTAGGAGATTTCCCTCAATGGCAAGACTTTATAAGTCTTGTACCTATTCAGCATAATCTATCAAAAACTGATGAGAATGTTTATGAGTAGTCACATAGATTAGAACCATCACACCCTTATCATGATTATTTAACCGCTGGTGGATTTGTTAGCAACATACTAGTCACCACTTCAGGCCATATGCGGAAGGAACTTTGGTGCCTGGCAGCGGCATTAGATTTTGTTATTTTCACTAGTTTAAGCATGACAGATTTAAATTCTGGATGCTCTACTAATCCATGTTATGGGCTATGAGCTTGTGTGCAAACCCTTTATGTATTTTTAGTAGGATAGGTTAACATTACTCATCATGGATCTCATTATTCTACTGCTTGCCTCCAGTGTAACTTAACTAGCTATGTTTTTAGATAAAACAAGGGTCAAAATATTTTAGTTTTACATCACCCGTCTTTTCTTATGCTCTCAACAATGCCTCTGGACCTTGGTACCACAATGCAGGGCTTCAGGCCCTTGAGGAACTGCATCAGCAGTTATTTCGGCCTCGGAGAGCCATTGGGCTTATAATAGTTGGCATTGTTGCTCTTGCTACATTTGTAGCTTCTGCTGTTGCTAGTGTTGCGGCTCTTACCCAGAGCATACAGAATGCTCATTTTCTGAATTGGACGACTCAAAATGTCTCATTGGCTTTAAAAGATCAAGAAGATATTAATAGAAAATCGGAAACCAAATTGAATGCTTTGGAAACAAGTTATTAGAATAGGAGACCAACTGCAAACACTGAGAGTGTGGCAACAATTATTATGTCATGCAGCACATTCATCCGTCTGCATGATCCCTGTTAAATACAATGCCTCTAAATGGGATTGGAATAAGGTTAAATTACATTTATAAGAGATATGGACTGACAATAATGCCAGTCTTAATGTAGCTAATCTTCATAACAATATTCTTGACATCCAAAACAGTAAAGATGCTGAATCCTGCAAAATTGACTCAACAAATTTTAGATGATTTGAGAGGTTTCAACCCTTTTAATATACTGCCTGGTATCTTTTAAGTATTGTGCTGTTGCTATTAATTCTTTTTTTGTGTATTCTCAGTCGGATGCCAAGTCATCCAAAGACAACTGCAAAACATCCGAGTGAACAACTGTCATCTGCGTTTAAAAAAATAAAAAAGGAGAGATGTAGAGAGCCAGATCTGAGCTGGAGCTATGGCCACAGCCTAAGTCAAGACTCATGGTCAAAAGCATTGGCAAAACCACGATTGTCTGAGTTGCAATCTGCCAAAGGCAGAGAAGCAAATAAAGACCATTGGCAAAGCCATGCCCAACTGTGTAGCAATCTGCCAAAGGCAGGGAAACAAAACTGTTAACAGACAGCTGCTTCTAGTTTAGCAAAGATAACCAGGTACAGACAGGCCTTGGGAAATTATTGCTGCCAGCACGTTTCAAGTCCTGAGAAGAAGACTCCCACTCCCTCCCCGACCTTCAAAAGTATATAATAAACGTGCTAAACTTGCCTCGGGCTCATTGTATCTTCAGCAGAGTGCAGTGTCCCACCTGGCCCCAGCTTTTGTATACACTCTCTGTGTTTTTCTCCATCCTTCTGAGGTGCCTTCCCTCAGGTTAACCCTCTAGCCCTGCAGGTCATGGCAAGATTGTTTGTAGCTAGTCTACAAAGTACAATTGATTTTTGTATATCGAACTTGTATTGTGTGAACCTTGTCAAACTCTTATTAGCTCTAGATTTGTTTTTCATGGCTTCCTTAGGATTTTCTAAGTACAAGATTAGTTTGCCAGGGTTACCATAACGAAGTACCACAGACTGAGCTTTAAGCAGCAAAATTTGTCTGACAGACAGTTCAAGAGGCCAGAAGTCAAAAAACAAGGTGTCAGCAGGGTTTGTTCTGAGGTCTGTGGGGGGAAGAATCTGTTCCAGTTCTCTCTCCTTGAGTTGCAGTGGTTTCCTGTGTCTCTATACATTGTCTTTCTTATATGCATTTGTTTGATTTCCTCTTTTTGTAAAGACACAAGTCTTATTGGAACATGACCCACCCTAATGACCTCGCTTTAGCTTGATTATCTCTGTAAAGACTCTATCTCCGAATAAGGTCATATTCTGATGTACTGGAGATTAGTACTTCAATTTCTTAACTTTTCTTTGTGTATGTGGGGCAAGATCCAATGACTCAATTCTAATCATAACAAGATCATGCCACCTGTGAATAGAGATTGTTTTCTTCTTCCTTTCCAATCTGGATTCCTTTTTTTTCTTGCCTAATTACCCTAGCTAGACCAGCAGTACAATGCTGAATAGAAGTGGCAAGAGTAGACATATTTATCTTGTTCCAGCACCTTTTTAAACTTTTATTTTTGACAGCACTGGGACTATCTAAAATTATCTTGATTGTTTATTTAGAAAGAATAAAAATGACTTCCTACTACCAGTACCCTACTTCAGACCAGTTTCTCCTTGCACCCAGATTACTGTCACATTCTCTATGGCCGGCTTTTCTTTAAGCCTTCACCAATCCACGGTTTACAGTGTGGCCAACGTGATTTTTCAAAACTCAAATCTAATTCAGCTCCGTACTTATTACTTCCGTGACTTTGAGTAAATTACTTTCTTAAGCGTCTTTTTTCATTTCTATTAACAGGGTGTTAATAATGGATTGTTGAGACAAGTAATGTAAAACTTACTACAATGCCTGGCACACATAGGTGTTCCATGGATGTCTATTAAGTTTTCCTTTTAATAGTAACATAATATACATTAATCTTTCTATATACCAAACTCTGTTCTAAGTGCAGCCAGAGGAAGTTCAAGTGGCTTGTCCAAAGGTCATGCAGGTAGGCACCAGTGGAAAATGAACCCAAGCACTGGACTCAATCAGCTGTACTACCTCCTAAACTTGAATTATCTAATTGTCTTTTTTAAAACTTCTCTGTTGCCTTGCAAAGACTTCAGCATGAAACCCAACTCCTCAGACTGCTTCTAGGATCTCCAGAAATCCCGTTTACCAGCCTCCCTAGGATTATGTCTTGCTGCTGGCTCCCTTACTACAAATCCAACCCAACTACTAGTTTGTTTCAGGTACTCAGCATCCAGGACTTGAACTTTTCGCTTCTGTAGTGAAATACTCTCCTACCTCGCTCGCTCTTATCGACCCTTCAGGAAACCTTCTAATACCGGCCAAGGCCCTTAACGGTTTTCTAGTGAGGTCAGGCAGCACCTCGTATTTCCATCACCGCGCTCACCACACTGCGCAGTTTACTTATGTCACAAATCTGTGAGTAACAAAGCTGACTACTTCTTTGACTTAGCATGTAGTAGATAAATATCCAACACTACTGAAAGAATTAATCTAAGCAATGAAACGAAACTGAAAATTGTGCGCTGTCTCAATTATCCTTTATTTCTACTCTGGCCTTAAATACGCTGGTAATGTTTCCAGCATATTTTTTCTTCAGTAGGCAAGTTTCTCGAAATACCTAGGTAGCCGGCTCCTTTGCAAAAGAAACCCGGAGGGATGAGCAAGCACAGCCTCCGAGAGCAACGACCGATTAAACGGACAAGATGGCGGCCGTCGCTCAGCAGCCGCGAGTCTCCACCCACTCAGGGCGGAGGCCTGCGTCATGTGACCATTCCCCGTCTGGCACCGCCTCCGGCCGCAGTGCCTGACGGGAGACAGAGCAGCGAACGAGGGCGTCGGCCATTTTGTGCCTGTTTCCTGTGGGACGCGGTAGTGGCCGTTGGGTCCTGAAGGGTGAGCGACTTTCGCTTCATTTTTCCTGTTTATTTTCTCTTCCCTCTTGCTTTGTCGATAGAGCGCAGTTATGGGTCGCAAGAAGAAGAAGCAGCTGAAGCCATGGTGCTGGTATCCTTTGTCAGTTCGAAGTCGAGGCCACGCTGAGGCGCCTGTTAGTGACTGGGACTGGGAGGCCTGGCTTTGGCCTATGGCGGAGCGTGTCTGGGATCTAGGCTCCTGGGTGGGGGGCTTGGCGGCTGGAGTTAGATTCGGGAAATCTCGGAAAATGGAGTCTCTAGGGCAAGAGGCTCTGGCAGTTGTGGGTCGTGGGACTCCGTGACTCAGGAAGTTATTGCTCTGGTGCGAGCGTTGACCCACTGGGAGGCGGCTTGGACCCCTCCATCAAGGACAGTGTCCCCTAAGGACTATTCTGCCGTACTCCGTTGTTTTGGTGACGATTCAACAAAGGGGGTTTCTTCGAGTAAAATACTCTGTGGAAGATTAAGGGAAAGCTCCGCAGTCAGTCACCCACTTTTTTCAGTTTTTTTGTTTGTGTGTGTGTGTGTGTGTGTGTGGAATCGGTGGTTTAGTAAAGGCTTATGTTAACCTTAATTTCTAACGCCTCTTTTTTTTTTTTTTTTTTTTTTTTTTTTTCTTGTGGGGGGGAGATCGGGGTCTATGTATTGCCATGCAAATCTGATGATTTGCTGTGTGGGGGAAACGCTAGCTTCCGCGTCTCACCCACTGGCGCCTTAATCTTAAGCATTCTCTTGCAGGGTGGAGTTTTCTTTTACTATTACCTAGCTTTGTAAGACTGAAAAAAAGAATAAACTGTGGCGTCCTTTTAATATTTTTTTCCGGAAGCGTTAATATATTTTACATTAAATTGGTCTTATTTACTGCCTCGTACCTAAAAACAATTTGTTACGGAACTGCATTTATATAATAGTTGAAAAGTTAAGAATTTTATAATTTACTAGATAATTCTCAGTTTTATTAATGCAGCTCATTTGTATTTAAATACATTCCTTGGCAACATGAATTCATAGGGAGTTGCAAATAACTATTGATCATACAAAATTGTCATTCTCATTCACTACAAACTTATTCATTTAGATTCTAAATAATATAAACTTAAGTTCTAAACATAGGTAAATCTTAATATTTCGATTATTTTAAATCTCCTATGTAATGGATAAATTCTATCTTGAAATTTTGTCTTGACATAAAGTTGGGTTTTTTAAAAAATTGAACCCTTCCAGTCCACAGTGTGGCTTTGTAAATATTGACTGATGGAACAAAAGAAAAGTTAATTTCACAAATCTCTGTTAAACACAAATTTTACAAAACTATACTGCGCCTTGTAAAATGTGTGTGTAGGGGTGGTGAAGAGAGATTATGGGCTTCCAGGAAATATGCTAAAATTACATGGCAAGTTAATCCTTAATTGTATAATATGAAAAGCAAAAGTTCTGTAAAGAGTACCTTTTGATTTTAGCTGTTACTATATTTTAATGCTACTCCACTTATAGAACAGATTTTTTTAATAGGCAGAGTCATCATTGTGCTGTTTTTGTACCTTGACAATACTGATCAGGTATTGTAATAGAGATTTTGATGATGAGAAGATCCTTATACAGCACCAAAAAGCAAAACATTTCAAATGCCACATATGTCATAAGAAGCTGTACACAGGACCTGGCTTGGCTATACATTGCATGCAGGTAAGGATTTATCATCTGTAGTTTTTGCTCCCTTGTAGTTTATGGTCTGGAGATCATAACTATTTCTTTGACAATTGTAGGGGTTTTTTTTTTTTTTATTGCAAAAGATCAGATAAGATGGCCAACTTTTTTTTTAAAAGCTTAACCATCAAGAAGATAAACAATTGATTTTTTACGTTTAAATAGAGTTTATATTGGTATTTAAATTATTGATAATCTTTCATTCTAGGTTAGATTGGTGACAGGTGAGATTACATAATAACTCCTCAGCACTTGGGTTAGGAAACAGGCATCAGTGATTTAAATTTCGTGGGCAGTCTGACCAGTTCTAATCCCATAAGAATTAAGGCATAATTAGCTGCCATTATTCACTGCCAGTGAAGGATTTAACAATCCATTGCCTGTGGCCAGGATTATTTCAACAATTTATGGACTTCTTTTGTAATGGTAACATTGTTTGAATAATTTCTTCGTTTCTTGAGTCCTTTTACTACTAGGTAGGAAGAGTTTTGTAATTTTTATTTTTAAACATCTAATAAGTACCATTATGTTTTATTGAACATTATTTCTTCTACTTTTGCCGATTTTAGAGCTGCCTGAATTTTTGCCTAATTGGACCCTAGAGAGATGTGAAATGAGCAAATCTCTATTCATTGGAAACTACTGTTGGTAGGAAGCAGGGAGGTAAATTAAAACAAGATGTTGCTTCCCCAAGTTTAAAAATGTTATATAGATCCTTTTCCCTCCAGTATGTCACTACAACAATTTAATATCCTTTCAAAAATATTTAAGAGCCTACTACATGCTAGACCCACAGCTTTCCACTGTGGCAGTCACTAAGTTACATGTAGTTATTTAAAAGAAAATTAAAATTTTAAATAGTCACGTTATTGCCACATTTCCAGTGCTCAGTAGCCACATGTGGCTGGCTGGTGAATGACTATTGTATTTGATAGTGCAGTTACAGAACATTACCATTTACCACAGGCAGTTTCTATGAGACAGCACTGAGTGAGTATACAGCAGTGAATAAAACAACCATTGTGGAATTTAGATTTATATTGTGGAGGAAAATAACCTGTAAATATTTTGTTTGTCTTACGGTGATAAGCAATATAGAAAACTAAAACTAAGTAGGAGATATCGGGAGGGCCACAAGATAGGAAAGGCCTGAATGAGAAGGTGATACCTGAGCAAAGGTCTGAAAGGGAGTAAGGGAGAACTTCCAAGGAAAAGCAAATGAAAGGCCCTCACTCAGGAGCATTCTCCTATGTTGAAGGAAAGAGCAGCACCGTGCTTTATATAGGAGGACTTGCAGCGTATTGTAGGCCATTTTCATTAGTTCTGAATGAAATGGGGAGGTTTGAACAGAGATGTAACATGCTCTGGTACACTTTTTTAAAAGATTGTTTTGGCGGCAGGGTTGAGAATAGATTGGAGACCTACCGTGAGATCACTTAGGAGATTGTGGAGTATCCCTGGCAAAGAAATGTTACTATATACTGAGATGTGGAAAGCTGCAGGAAGAACAGGCTTAGGTATGAGGATATCTTTTTGTTAAGTTTGAGTGTAGAAAGTTAGTTTTGAGAAGGTCTGCTGAATATCCAGGTGGAGATGTCAAAACAGTTGAATCTACAAGTCAAATTCATAGCTCTTGGAGCTGGAGATAGAAATTTGGAAGGATACAGTATACCGATGGCTATTTAAAGTCATGATACTGGATATTTTAAGGAGTAGAATGCAGATAGAAGGGGTACAAGGACTCCATGTTGGGCTACTCCCAGCATTTAGAGGTCAGAAGTTTGAAGGAAATAATCCAAAGAGATTGAAAGGTAGGAACACCAAGAGAATAGTACCCTGGAAGCCAAATGAAATGTTTGAAAGAGTAAGTTATTTAATTCTGAAATGCTCATGGTAGGTCAAGTAAGAAGGAGGACTAAGATTAATCAAAGTGGAAATCTGTTGGTCACTTGCCAGGAGTGATTTCCTAGAATGATGAAGATGAAAGCTTGATTAGAATACTTTCGGGAGGAAATGAGAACATGTAGGCACTCTTTCAGGAGTTACACTGTAAAGTAAGGATCCCCAATCCCCTGGGCCACTCAGTAGGAGGTGAGGGCTCCGAGGGCCGGTGAGTGAACTAGCAAAGCATCTGTATTTGCAGTGGCTCCCCAGCACTAGCATCACCACCTCAGCTCCACCTCAGATCATCAGGCATTAGATTGTCATAGGAGCACTGGTCCCTGGTGCCAGAAAGGTTGGGGACCACTGCTGTAGAGAAGAGTAGACAAATGGAGTGGAAGCTAGATTAGTTGAGAAACTATTAGTAACATTTTAAATTGACTTAAGCGCTTCTGTTTATAGTCTTCATATAATTTCACAGCAGCCTGTGAGATGGCATGGCAGTTAAGTCAGACACATCCTCCAATTTTATAGATAATAAACCTAGTACGTTAGTAACTTAGATGGTTTGCATCATGCTCGCTTCTATATTTTCAATCAAGACCATACTAACTTATACTAGGCAAGATTCTTAGAACTCTTAATTCTGGCTGTACCATATGTTGGGAGGATTTTAAGTAAATCATGATATTTTTTCTTTCCAACACCTTTTAATTAGTATATTCTTGTCCTTATCACTTAGAAATGTGGTAAAGACTAGTTAATTTTTATGTGAATGTAATTGTATTTTTTTAAAGAAAGTTATCTGTGTTTATCAGGAATAGTAACATATTCCAAAAAACTTAGGAAACGGTAATTGAGTCACTTAAGTAGTTTTATTCATGGATCATTTAATCACAATAATGAATAAAGATCAGAAATTAAGATAATTTCTGAATTTGATTTGCATGTCACTGAAATCTTTAAGATACATCTCTAAGAAGAAAACACTTAGCTTTCTTTAATTACCTTTCTATTATGTGAAAGTGTATTGGGAGAACAGAAGAATTGAGTATTGCTCGGACAAATGTATTTAAGTCATTAGTTTAAATCAGTGGTTCTCAAGCTTGTGCATGCATCAGAATCAATTGGAGGGCTTGTTAAAATACAGATATCTGGCCCTTCCCAAGAGTTTCGGATACTGTAGGGTTCAGTGGGGCCTGATAATGTGCATTTCTAATAAGCTTCCAGGTAACACTGATAGTGTAAGCAAAATACTGAAATCCTTTAGCCTAAGTTAATGGCTTCTTCTGAAGAAACAAGGACTGATGGATTTTGTCATATTGGCAAAAGTTAATCCACGTTTGAGGGTTAGAAATGTTTGACCTAGCAAAAAACGATACAGTGAAGTCATAAATTCTCAGTATTTTACAGTAAAAACATCTTTTCCTGTTAGCAACCTACCACATAAATTTAGAGGTAGATAGTGGCAGGCTAACTACAGTGGCAATGTTAAGTGCATCATGTTGCTCATTAGGTATGGGTAATGCTAATTATAAATGTCACTTTTGTAGTTAGTAACTACATGCTTTTCTGAAGATCCATTCTTGAAAAATTTACTTATTCTAATTCTCAGTATAATAAAACTTTCATAGGCTTAATTCAAATTTGAAATTTGTCTGATTTGAATAGGACTACTAGGTCATTGCCGATAATTCAAGCAAGCAAGATTATATGGTAAACTCGAAATGATGCTTATTCAGCCCTTACTATGTGTTAAACATCCTGCCAAGTGCTTTTTATATACACTATATTTAATCCTAAAAACGACCTTAGAAGTTAGGTACTATATAGGTGGAGTAAACTGAGGCTTAGGGCAAATGATTTACCTCGCCTCACTTAGCTAGTAAGCAGCAAAATTGGAGATTGACTCCAGATAGTCTCACTATAGTATCTCTCTGTTAACTGTCATACTAAGTGATCTCTGATTAATTTGAAATTATTCTCTAAAAGACTTTTATGAGACATTTTTTGTTTATTTGATGGAAGTATTTTGTTTGTTTAGGTGCATAAAGAGACAATAGATGCTGTACCAAATGCAATACCTGGGAGAACAGACATAGAATTGGAAATATATGGTATGGAAGGTATTCCAGAAAAAGACATGGATGAAAGAAGACGACTTCTTGAACAGAAAACACAGGGTAAATATTAAAATGTGTGCTTTTTCTTAATACAGTTTCACTAGTGAAAGTATTACTACTACTTTCAAGTACAAATTTAATGATAGATTTATTCAGATTCCAATTTTAAATTCTGTTTTTTAATTATGTTTTAATAGGCCTTTGAAAATGAGTATACTTGTTTTGATTTATGTAACCACTATAAATTTTTGTTGTTATTTGACTTTGAATTTGCAGCCATATATAATCCAGATGATAGGAGCTGTTATTAATCACCTATGGAATTTTTTGTTTTGAAAAGTATTACAGAGAGGTCAGACACCTTTGTCATAGTTTACCTTTCGGGATGGAATAGAAAGCTGTTTTTTTAAAATAAAACTGACTTAGAATTCTTTTTATCTGATACAGAATACCGAAAGGATTTTAATCTTGCTTAATATAGGTTGAAAACATTTGAAGAGTAAAGAACCATATTAACTGAAACATTGCACTGCATATTAATTGAGATAATTGCACTGGAATTTTTTTAATGTTAGACCTTTTTTAAAAAAATTTATGGGAAAATTAATTAAACCTTTTTTAGCAGAGAGTCAAAAAAAGAAGCAACAAGATGATTCTGATGAATATGATGATGATGACTCTGCAGCTTCAACTTCATTTCAGCCACAGCCTGTTCAACCCCAACAAGGTTATATCCCTCCAATGGCACAGCCGGGGCTACCACCAGTTCCAGGGGCCAGGACTGCC